TATATATATATATGTGTGTGTGTGTGTGTCTGTGTGTATGTATATATAAAAGTAAGAAAATGTGTTTAGTGTACCTTTATTTTTGTTTATTTCTTTTTCAACAACTGATACTGAAAATGTGTTTATTTTGTTTGTCGTTTGTATAATATGTAAAACTTCAATTTTTATTACAATTTTTGTATAAATTTGAATATTATTTTTATCATTTTAAATTTCAAACTAAGAAGTAACATTAACGTGTTCTGATACACCGCGTGTACAATTTCTTTAATAGTAATATAAATCTAATATCAGCGATGTAAATTAGTTCTTGATACGCAAACATGCAACATATCTACTTTTGAAGATGTAAGTGTACTGACAGTCACACAATACGCGTGATAGCACAAACAATAAAATATCAAAGTAAGAGAAAAACAACATTTTCAAATTTTGTTCTGACGCAAACAAAAAGCTGCGAGCTTAAATAAAGAATTATTTAAATAATAAAATCATTTTTTAAGTAATCATAAAATTTAAGGCTCAAACGGAGACAAACTATAAGAAAAGCACAAACCAGAGAGCCGCAGATCCAAGGTGGATCTTGTAAGTTCATATCTATTTGTCATGCGTATAATCTATTTAGTTTTGTGCAATCTTGTATCTTAATTTGTTTTTTCAATTTAAACAGTGTTGATAATGATCCACAATAAAAGGATCGAAACGTCCACTTAATTTACATTGACTGCTGTTGCAATTTATTTCCACTCCCACCTTGGATCTGCGGCTCTCTGGTTTGTGCTTTTCTTATAGTTCATTTTTTAAGGTTGTAAAATCTTTTCATTAACTTCTTTTATCATAATTAAAAAACTGAACTTAAAGTTATACAAATAAATGTTCCTCTTTTAATTGCATATCATAAAAAATCCTTATAAACTACTTTTATACCTGCAAATATATTTTTGTAATACATAATCAAAAAATATAAGTTAAAATAGACGAACTCAAGCACTATTGTACAGGTTTTTCGACTGAAAACTATTTGGTTTGTGCATACCTAAAAATAAGCCAGTGCCTCTCAATAATATGCTAGCAATAAATAAAAAAGTAAAAAATTTTTGATTACACAGCCACACAAAAAAAAAAATTTCTTTGGCCTGGGGATCAGACCATGTTTATTATATGTTTTTGGGGTCGCTGAATCCGAATCCGAGGTCCATTAAACCCTATCGGGTCGGGGTTCCGCCATAACCTCAAAAAACACCATAATCT